AGGTTTGCTTTAACTGGCGCCCTGAAAACGGGTTAAACGTGTGGACTGGCCCGACGAGTTATATCTCGTTGTGGGTTCAGGAGTCCCACAAAAATAATTTCCTTATGATCTTTTGATTCTTAATCATCGTTAATCCAACGGTCAAAATGGCCCAGCTAATTTGGGGCCAAACGTCAACAGTAGCGTAACTGGATACAAACGGGCTTGAAAACCGAAAGGGGTTTTTTAGAAGCGCGCCGTTTTTGCCACGTCGGAAACGGCAAAAGACAAGAAGAAAGCTGCTGCTGCATTTCCATATGAGTGTTGTTTTTTTTTTTTTTAATCTCTTTTTTCTTCTCTCTTTCAGAAAAAACTTTTCAATCAACAAAGTAAGGATTTTTTTCAGAACGCCGGGATCCGATTTTCTCGATCGCAGCGACTAATCCAATTCATCGCGTCGTCGTCTTTTCTCTTCGTGCGTAATCTCCTTCTTCCGCTGCTATCAGCCGTTTCTCTTCCTCCTCCTCCTTCCCTTCTCTTTATTCGCACTGTAATTTTCTGTTTTTCTTTCCTTCCGATATCCGCATGGAGATTCATTTATTTTCTGTTATGATTAATAGATTCGTAGGAATATTTGTAATGTGTTGTGTCTACATTGACTCAGATTTTTTTTAATTTAGTTTTTTTTTTTTTCGGTTTTGATGTAAAATCTGATCGTTTAAATTTTTTATGCATTAGGTTTCCTATTTTTTCGAAAATATCGATGTTTTTGCTGTATTCATTGTCGTCTAATCACTTTGATTGTTAATATATAGTTTAAAACAGACGATCATTGATCGATTCAATTCTTTATTTGATGAGATTTGATTATTGAAATATGCAATGTGTATCTTTCAGGAGTTTTCAGTGCAATTCTTTGAGAGTTAAGAGGCATTGTTTTAGAGAAGGGGTTCTAGCTACGGGTGTGGAGTTTGGATTTGGAAATCTGGAAACAATGTCCTCGAAAGGCGATCATCAAACCGTGCCGCTGTCGGTTCTACTGAAACGAGAATTAGCAAACGAAAAGATCGAAAGGCCGGAGATTGTACACGGGACAAGCGAGCCAGAGCAAGAAAGGTGAAGACTTTACATTGCTTAAAACCGAATGCCAAAGAGCAATGGGAGATGGTGTAACCACATTCTCAGTTTTCGGGGTATGAAGTGAATCAATGCTAATCACATACTATATGCTTTAGCACAAAGTTGCCTGCTTCACCATAAAAACTTTTAATTTGCATCAATGGAATATAAGGGTTTAGAAACTTTTGTCTGCTATGTATATTGGTGTAATTATCAGTACAATTTGTTTGGTTTCGCACAAATATACTTGTCGTCATCTATTTGCTTTTGGAAATTCTTGGAAAGATCATTTTCTAAAGTGATGCTTCTTTAATGTCCTTTATTGTTTTTTACTTTTCTCCTTTTATAGGTTGGTCATGCTAAACCATTTTTTGCAGCTCTTTGATGGACACAATGGGTCTGCTGCTGCTATTTACACTAAGGAGAATCTCCTTAATAATGTCCTAAATGCCATTCCGACAGATCTTAATAGGGATGAATGGGTTGCTGCGCTTCCAAGGGCTTTGGTTGCAGGCTTTGTTAAAACAGATAAAGATTTTCAAGAGAGAGGTATGAGATGTTTTGTTTTGCTTTTATGTAAACTATCTGAGTATAGTATATGTTTAATGGCATAACTTTTGGAAAAAAAGGACTATTTGTCTAGATATAAATTTTAATTTTATTACGATTGTACAGTTACTTTGGGAGTGGTTGCTACTATTTGCAAATTGCATCTCTTTCATGCACTCCTCTATAATGGCTTGTTTGCTTATATCCATTAAGAGTTAGATTGTATCCTATTTCACTAAACTAACTGTTTTGTTTTCTCAATATCATTCCTTTTGGTGCTGCTTTTTGCTTTCTGTGAGGTCCATCTAAGATGTGGAGTTTTACTGATTTATATTAAGAATCTCCCTGGAGAAACATGCTTATATGTAGGAAGAGTTGCAGTTTGGAAGTTGATCAATATTGTTTTGTGATAGTTGATTTGCATTATGTGTGGTTACTCTGGTGGTAAGTGTGTTAGCTATTTGGTTATGGACGTTATCTTGGAGATGTAGTGCATTCTCTTGTGCAACAAAAAGGGGATAGCAGATTAGCAGATGTTTATCTCTAGATCAGCTTGTCTAATATTCCTATGATCTTATTATAGAAGATCTTTAGTTTATGACTATTTTTTCTGTAGTTAACTGATAGTGCTTGAGATGTCAACTTGAAATTGGTCTAGATATAGTGAAGTTGGCACCACCAATCAGTGTACAGCTTGATACTTTACCACCTATACAAACAGAAACACACCAGGCAGTTTCATCAATTAATTATTTTCCCTCTCTACTTATTTATGATGATTTTGCTTGAGCATAAAAGCTCACGTACATAAGCATGTATTTCCTTCCTCCCATTGAGCGGGAATTGGGATAAAGAAGAGAAACATGTTTTAATTATGTATTTTCTCTTTTAATTTTTTTAAGTTTAGGGTAATAACTTCTTGTATTTTCTCCCACATGTTTAGCATTTGATATTCATGTTATGGTTTTCTTTCCAGCAAAAACATCGGGAACAACTGTAACCTTTGTGATAATAGAAGGATGGGTTATAACAGTTGCATCGGTTGGTGATTCCTGTTGTATATTTGAATCATCTGAAGGCGGAATATATTACTTGTCAGCTGATCATAGGCTTGAATGTAACGAAGAGGAGTAAGTTATTGACTTAGTGTTTGCTGGATTTTAAAAGTTTCCCCTAAATATTAAGGTCCTACTTCCTGTTTTCATCTTATTAGGAGGGAACGAATCACTGCAAGTGGGGTGAGGTTGGTCGCTTAAATACTGGTGGTGGTGCAGAGGTATCTCCTCTTTTGTACAACTGTGCTTCTTGTTGTTTTTCTGGATTCTTAGCCTTTTCTTTCCAGCAGTGAAACTTAACACCCTTGAGATATATTTATGTGAATGGATGTGCAACCACAATACTTGGAAACACAATCTAGAAAGCTAGTTTCAGACATTACAGGACTCTGTGGACAAGTATACCAGAAAGACATTAAAACTTGATAATTGATGTGAATTAGAGGAGTCCTTTGTAAAACTTACTAATTATAGCTGTAACAATTGTAATTAGCAGCAACTCTTTATGTATCTATCTTGTTTAGAAGTAGATTTAAGAAACATGATATTGACATGCTTGTAAAGATGCTAAATAGGTTCTCCAAGGAGAATTTCGGTATCTGCAGTCGAGGAAAAAACTGTGCTTGATTAATTGTGTGGGTCAAAGCTGGTGACCTAATGGTAAAGTTATTTTGTAGATTGGTCCTTTGAGATGTTGGCCTGAGGCTTGTGCCTTTCACGATCCATTGGCGATATGGGATGTTGGGGAGTTCATTGTTCCTGTTCCATACGTAAAGCAAGTAAAGGTTTGTTTTAATCTACCTGCCACACTCTATTTGATATCTGTTATTCTTGATATAACTTTTGAGCTTAAATATTGTTTTTTGTACATTTCCTTTCAGAGCCCCTTGTGAATATATTTTTTTTCCTTACGCAACTTTGATAAGAAATGGATATGTACTGGCTTTAATGAATTTCCTTGAACTTGGGACCAGTATCTTTTCTGAATTGCATGATAGTTGAAGGACATAGTAGAGCTATTAATTTCATATCCTCCTGTGTCCCATACTCACACATTGAAGTGCTTTTGCATTTGGATTTTTTCTCTCTTAATATTTTTTTTACCCTAGTCGGCTAACTGTTTACCCGTGGTAGTGTTTTCTCAAATTAGAAAACCTTTTCCTTGACTTCTATTGTTATTAATAGTGTATTTTACGTACTAGTTATTTTCTGCAGTTGTCTATGGCTGGTGGTAGGATGATTATCTCCAGTGATGGTGTTGGGATGCTTTATCAGCTGAAGTAGCTCTTGATTGTTGTCGCGGAATGCCACCAGATGCTGCCGCTGCACAGATGTGAAGGTACGTTCCTGAATTATATTTGTCTACACTATGCTCTTCAAATGTTGCTGCTGGGAGCACTATGCCCTTCTGGCTTTGCAATATTTAGTATCAACTGCCTTTCTTCATATGTTTTCTGATTCCTTGGTCTCCAATGAATAGGAAGCTTTACAAGCGAAGGGGTCTTCGAGATGATACAACCTGCATTGTTGTTGATATCTTACCACAAGAGAAGCCAGCTGCTTCTTTGCCACCACCAAAGAAGCCCGTAAACAGGTATGTTCAGGGCCATGGTTTCCGCAAGAAGCCTTCTGGAATCGTCTTCTCATGTGATAAAGAATATATGGAAGCCAGATGGTAGGTGGAGGAATTACTTGAGGAGGGATCTGCTCATGCTTGGAAGGTTTTGTGCTATGAGGAATGACTGTATTATGTTGAATATGAAATTTGTGCTTTTGATTGTCATTTCAAGGATCAAGACCATATATCTTTCATTTGTATCTGTTCTGTGGGCATAGCTTCTATGAATGGGCAGGATGGTGTTGTTTGTAGTTTTATCTCACGAGGAACACTTCTGCTGGATACAGGTTGGATACAAAATATCCATTGTGCAACATGTTTAAGCTGTTCATGTGTGCAGTCTGTCAATTAGAGATGAAACCTGGAGAGGGTGCTTCAATTCATGCTGGCTCATCTAATTCAGTTGCGTCTGTGGGATGGTCCTTTCCTTTGCTCTAGTTGCCAAGAGAAGAAAGAAGCCATGGAAGGGAAAAGACGATCAGGAGGTAATGACAGAACTCCCTCGCTCCCTCTCTCTCTTTCTTCTTTGCAAGTTTATGTTACTAAAAGACCCTTGAATTTTTTTTTCTTGTTTCTCCTGTTTTTCCTGTATCCAGATAGACATAGTAGTGAAAGTGACTAGCTAGACGTCTCCAACTACTGTTGCGTTTTGTGTTCACTAACATTTGTTTTGGAGGTGGTCATAAATGGCAAAGATGACGCATTCTCACTATAGTAACTCCCTTCAATTTCTTATTGGGGGCATCAAGTATTCTGCAACTGAGGATCCATTTGGATCTATACTCCAAGTCAGAAGAGCAGAGTTGAAATGTGTGTTTAGATTTCTGTTTTCTGGCTTCAGGAGTGAGAAGACTTGTGTTTACCTAAAGTGAAAATTGAAAAAGAAAATGAGAAAAGATAGGCCGGAGGTTTTGATAGACTCGGCAGTGCATAGTGGCATGCCTCAGAGGTAATTCTTTTTTCCATCA